CATTTGCAAATATCGTATTTTCCCCATTTTCCGCCTCCTGTGATGACTTGCACGCCTACCCATCTATTATTCATTTTACCCATTTTTCTTTTTTCGTCCCTTGGCTGACGAGAGGGCGTAACTCTCTACCGGCCCGACGGTCCTCCCGGGATCTGAATGAAATAACGCTTATGTTATTGTTGTCTTTCGATAGGTCTCAGTTACTCATCTCTCGTTGCCTATTTCCACTGTGTACTGCTACATCTGCTGGCCACTGAGAGGGCGTAACTCTCTGTTGGTCCGCCAGCCCTCCGGTCTGGAATGAAATGTCGTCAAAAAAAATATTTCGATTTGCCTTTGTTCAGGGTTACTGATGAGGGGTGTAAATACCCAAAACCGATATAATTCGGTAACAAATGGTCAAACGAATGATAGATTTAAATTTCACATTTTTCCAATGAAAGTATGCAATTGTAATCAAATCCACTAACATTTTCAAAGAGAATTAGTAGGAACGTTGCCTAAGTTGTTTGTGCTATATGTAGTAGCACAGTTATTAGAGTTTAACACTGTTATCTACTCTTTCCGATTTGACTTAGTTGCTAAACTTGAGGTTTGGGCTCCAACTACCTAGAAGTAGCTAATTTGTCGTTTCACCTGTTTACCCACATATCATTTCCCAAGAACATGTGTGAGCAGAATTATGTTTCCTTCCTACAATAATTTAAGTTAAATTCTGCAAACTGCGATACATCTTACTGAATATGTGTACCACTCATTGTATTGATCATACAATATTTTAACAAAACATAACCACACTGCTCGACTTTGGTATCCCAATTTAACGGTATTTTATTAGTAATTTGGAAATTTTTTCATAAACGATTGTCTTAGGAAATGAAGCTGTTAATAACAACTATGTGTCGATAGAACAATCGTTGAAACTAATTTCTCCCTGATACTTTGATTAGATTGTTATGTTTGTGAAAAGAATATTACATTAATTTACCAGTTAACAATCCGCCTTTTTTTTTTAGTTTGAAATTTAGGTAAATGATATACATATTAACATTTTAGTAACAATAAATTTAGGATACTTTACGTCCATTAAAATATTGTTGTGCAGGGAAAAGCTGAAGGTATAATTATGTGAATTAATTATTTGTGTTAATGTTACAAGATATTACTTTCTTTTTAATTATATATTATTACGTTTAACTGTTATTGTTTTGATACGCGCTAATGATTTGTTACATTTGTAAACAGTTCAGCTCACGCTTCATAAAGTACGTATACAATTTTCGAATGTGTGCTTAAGACTTGTGTATTTTTTTTGGGGGTATTCGGAGGTAAGACGTTTGAAATAATTGGTGCATTTGTTATTTTTGATATTATTAAGAAATTACCAAAAAAAAAAGTTTAACGTACAACGCTAGAATCCGGGTTTCGATACCCGTGGTGGGCAGAGCACAGATAGCCCAGTGTGTAGCTTTGTGCTTAATTACAAACAAACAAACTTTACGAAGTTTTGGTTTAGCCACCTGCGGCCATTCTTTGCCGTGTGCGACACCTTTGCTATTTTTTCGCAGTTGCAAAAAATACTAACTAACTGATTATAATAAATCTTTAGATTTAAAAAACTGCAATAAAGCATTTTTTTAGTTCAAGCACCCCCTCACTAGGACACCCATCAAGACTGGTATTTGAATGCCTTTTCGTTTTTATCTTCAGACATGGGATGCCAACTAAAGTCTGGGAATCACTTGTTAGCCACTTGTATTGGAATGGAGTTCTATGGGGTTCCTGTATTCTGTCTTCCGACCTATCGATAACTTTTTATTTCTACATATTTCAGATTTTTAAAAAGAATTAATCTGAGATTCGAAAAATACGTAATACAAGTTATCAAAAAATATGATTTTAGCCAGTGGTTCTGAGATTCCACACGTCGTGTGAGCGTGTGATCAGCTTTTCGTATCCTGTGTGTATAATTTGAAATTCTTTTTGTTTCATTATTGTTGTTAAGCTACACAATGGGCTTTCTGTACCGTGCTCACCACGGGTATCGAAACGAGCTTTAAGCTTTAAAACCTTTCAAACTTACTGCTGAGCATCTGAGGGGCCTGAAATTCTATTTATATTATGTTGAAAATAAATCTTGAACTTCATGTCACCTCCTACGATTTCTATCTTTTATTTTACAACAATTATTTAGCTCTTCCAGAACGGACGCTAACTGTGGATGGTTATGAAATGACGTTTGCGACGAATCATCTCGGCCATTTTCTCCTGACAAATCTGCTTCTCGGTAAGACATTCATGTAACATCTGTTACATGTTCTAAGGCAAATAATGAGTTAAATTTTGTGGCTCACCTTCTTCTATTAAATACTGTGTCATTCCTAAAATGCTATTGAACACTAATAGCGAATATTTAGTTACTGTTGATATCGTTTACGCTTTAACTTATTTCCGGGCCCGGCATGGCCAGGTGGTTAGGGCACTCGACTCGCAATCGGAGGGTCGCGGGTTTGAATCCCTGTCACACCAAACATGCTCGCCCTTTCAGCCGTGGGGGCGTTATAATGTGACGGTCAATCCCACTATTCGTTGGTAAAATAGTAGCCCAAGTTGGCGGTGGGCGGTGATGACTAGCTGCCTTCCCTCTAGTCTTACACTGCTAAATTAGGGACGGCTAGCGCAGATAGCCCTCGTGTAGCTTTGCGCGAAATTCAAAAACAAACAAACTTATTTCCGATAGTTTCAATTTCCCGAGAGGAAATGTGTTTTACAGCTTGCGAGATCTTTTTTTAAGTTTACGTTACAGAGTGAAACTCTTGAAAGGAAATTTCTTGTTATAATAGTTATTTCTTATTTCTCCGTTAATAGTTAATTCTATGACGTAATTTTATAAAGAATAGTAAACATACTAATTAATTGCTAAAAATTTTAAATTGGCATATTTAAATATTTTGCAATCTTGTATTTTTATTGATATCTTTATCTTCTATCCAATAGATAATACTCTAAACCAGTATAAACAAAATATATATGAACATTTATGCTTTAATAAACATAGTATGTACGATGAAATTTCATGTCTAAAATATTTCATAAAACAAAATAACTGTTAATATGAATTAATAATTAATAATAATAATATTATAATAATAATTAATACGAATGTTACAAGGGGGCGTTTTTTCTTCTTTCTTGATCTGATGTTGTCAAATTATGTGAAATTTGTTCAGTAACATTCTGTAATAACTTTCTCGTGGTGAGAAATTTAAAACAATTATTTATGTACTTGTTTATGCATAGAATTTTTTAGGCAGTATCTGTTGAAGGTTGATTAGTGAACTCCTTCTGGATGCGTTAATTTTTACGTGGTGTAACACTGAAATGCACCTAGTCGTTTAGAATAGGTATTAAATTTACATCTGCCTTTCTACCGCATAAATAAAAAAAAAATGTATGTCAGGGTTTTAAGTATATGGGCTTGGATTGTTTTGCAGTAGGTGTCTGTGACTTGGTGGCAATAAATTCGAACAATAAACGGACAGCACACAATCCACTTGTTTTAAAATAATATATTCAAAACAAGTCAAACGTATGTACAAAAATTCTCTACGCTATAGGATATCACAGTTGTATCTAAAACTCTAAACAATTCTCTTTTCTTGTCAAAAACCACTTAGGCTGATTAAATTACTTTAGAATCCAATTAACAAGACGAATTATTTTTCTCTGCTCTTATCAATGAATAATTCACTTACGTTACTCCGTGGGTTACCACAGTTGTATCCCGAACCTTAAATAATTGTCTCATTTTTGTCAAAGTCCACACAGGCGGGCTCAATTACTTTAGAACACCCTTTGACCAGACAAATTACTCTCCTTGTTTCTATTAAACTGTAAAACTCACTTTAAAATATCACCTGTTAAAGTTAATCACTCACACATCGGCTAACTTCATGTTCTCTTTCGATAACTCATTTTTTGACTTAACTGCACTTCACATGCGCTTGATGAAAAGGATAAAAAGAAGTATATTATAGGTCAAACCACTAAGGAGTTAGTATATATAACTGTGGACACAACGTTTCGGACAATGCCCTTCTTCAGATATCACTAACTGAACAGTAAATCCGTAAACGAAAACATTCCAAATCGAAGGTCGCGTGACGTGACAATGTAATAAATATACGTGTATAACAATACTTACAAACAATTGAAACAATAGAAAGTTTAAATATATATATACAAGCGCGCGCACGCACACATATCTATCATACATACGTATATATATATATATATGTGTGTGTGTATACATAGATACACACACAAATTATTATACAAATACTTATCTACACATATACAAACACAAGCGCGCGAACACACGCACATACATGAATATATATGCATTATAGTTTAAAAAAAATAGATGCATAATTTACCGTATAAAACTTTTTAAGAAAGGATAAAACTAAAACGGGAAATGTTACAAAAAGCTAAAACGTTCATTTAGCCCATCGGGGTGGAAAGTTCCCAGATCAAAAATTATTTTGTTTTCTTGTACTTCGCGGTTATGTTTGTTTGTAAGGGGCCTTCTTCAAAACAAGAATTTTAAAATGGCAAAGGGTATGGTTGTGCAAGTTGAAGTGTTGGGCCACTGGTTTATCTGAGTTACAATTTATTATGTTCTCGGTACGTTCTGCTAATAATCTACTGGTTTCTCCTATGTATCATTTCCCACAACATGAATAAACAATAGAATACATGACGCATTTTGATGTGCAGTTAAATTGATCCTTAATGTAAAAACTCGACTTAGGACCCTGCACGGATGTTCTTGAGTCAATGTAAGCACGTGTTATAGCGTTTTCTATTACAAGGATAACTACCTACAATAAAACTTGTGTCTGTTGAGGTGGCTGCCTTAAGGCTACAATGAACTACGTAGTTTCCAATACTGGTATCCTGACGGTAGGAAATTATGGGGGGAGGGGGGAAATCTTGGAAAAATATGTTTAGTGGTGTCAGATTCCTTTAAAATGTGAAAATTATTTAGAATAATGTCATTAAGTTGTTTATTGTGTGTGTGGTATGTGAGGGTAAGGGGCGGCCTGGTACAAGAGATTTTAGAGTTTGTTTCCGTGAGAGATGAAGAGGAATTGTGGTCTTGATTTACAATATAGTTGCGAGTTTTTTTAAAAATGTTTTTGAGGTAGTCACGATCATGAAAAAAATGATTCCAATTCTGTTGAGCGGACATTGAAATCATCAGGTTCACTCCACAGTTCCGAGGTTTAATGAACTGGGATTTTGGGATGTTCTTTTTTCATATATGTGGGGTGGTTAGAATTAAAGTGCATATAATTGTGGGTGTCTGTAGGTTTATAATGAACACTGGTTGTTATTTTATCAGAAGATATAGAAAGAAGAATATCCAAGAATGGTAGTGATGAATCAGAAATGTCATGCGTGTAAGACAGTGATGGATGGAAGTTACTTTCGTAATGAATAAACGTTTCTAGTTCGGGCAAGGTGCCCCTGAAGATTCCAACAAAGTCATCGATATATGTCTTGTAAAGTATGGATAACCGTTTGTCAAAAAAATTTCTTAACTCTCCTGTTGCGTATTACTGTGTATAATGATTTGATGTCCATAGCAAATAAAAGGACCGGGTCTGGCTTGGGGTTAAAAGTAATTGTGTTGAAGAGTCTAAGGGCATGATAAGTGTCCTTAATATAAGTGGGGAGTGAGTGGAGTAGGGGAGTCATTACGGAATTTAAATAACTGGAGATAAGTTCAGTTGGAGTATTACAGGTAGACACAATGGGCTGTTGGGTTTATGAATTTTAGGCACTAAATAGAAAACACCAGTGCTAAAGTCAGGTAATATTAAATTTCTACGACATCCTTTCATTTGGACCCTCCCTCCTCGCTTTTAATCCTCATTTCGTCCGTATGAAGATTGTGCTGAATGTTTATTTGATTTTATAGGTTATTACGTCGTCCTTTATATATAACTAACTTACCCTATTTCACTCCTTTGTATTCTTCTCTGCTAAAAATATCAATTAACATAATAACATGTATTATGTTTATCAAGTAAGCCATTCTTGCTTATGTTATTTTTGATAATTGCCTAACTATTTTATAAAACGACTGTATTATCTGAGCAGAGATGTTGATGAAATGTGCACCCAGCAGAATCATCACCGTTTCATCAGCAAGCTACAGACTGGGAATTATCAACTTTGACAATTTAAATAGTGAACGTTATTACATCTCGGACATCGCTTACAGTCATACTAAGTTGGCCAATATATTATTCACAAGAAAATTAGCTAATCGTTTAGCCGGAACAGGTAAGTAATGTAATTTTTCCTCACTCACTTATCTGTTGATTTTATGCCTATTATGTAATTGGAGTTATCAAGCTAACAACTGGAAACGTAAATTTTTTATATTGAGGAACTTAAATATGACTTCCTACCAACCACTTTCTCAAACTCACAATTTTATTAGAAAATACTTACGATTCGTACTTGTTGTAACTACGTTTACTTCTGGATCTTGTGGCTACTTTCTTTAATGATGTTTGATACTGACTTTACTTCTTAATTTTTAGCCGCGGTATAAAAGCTTATAGATACCTCCGAGTTTTTTTATTGTTGTTGTTTTCAAGTACAAACTTTTAGCTCATATCTCTGTCATCTGTTGACCGGTTTGAGATCTAATTACAGTTTTCGACTCAGGACATCAAACCCTTTCGATTGATGTATTTGATCACGCTCATTGTCTTATATGTTAATTTACTCTAATACTGCCTAAGAGAATTTTTGTTTGAGGGTAGGCTCGTAGATATTTGATGAGTAATAAAATCGAATCGGGTATACGCACGCCCCACGCTTAGTATTGCTGGCGCAAATATAGCTAATAAAAAAGGTAAAAAAAGGTTTCATGAATTAATTTACTCTAATCCTGCCTAAATGGGGCTAGCAACTCCACCCCGTAAAAACCAACCTGCTACAAGTAACTGCAACAACACCTTCCGTTGGCGAGGTGTT